GAAATATACTTGTCGGTGAAAATAATTCAGTGAAAGTTGCTGATTTTGGATTAGCTCGAATTATTGATAGTGGAAATGAAACATATACAGCTAAACAAGTAGTTTATTATTAAATGATTGAATATTTTAGTTTTTATTTAAAAGAAAAATTTTTTTTATTAATTTCCATGAATTCTAATTCAGAAAATCGAAAAGTTAAACACAACCAAGTCTAATAGTTCAGTAGTGTTAATATCTTGAATAATTGGCTTTATAAGTCAATTGAATCTAGGAAACCATGGAAAACCTGGAAGCACTGGAAGGCCATCCCATCCTACTACGGGACTCTTCCTTGGCAGTGCTCATCCACGATCCCGCACCGCGAGATTCGAATCCAGAACCTATCAATCTCGCGCGCGAACGCTTAACCTCTGAACTGCTGAGCCGTCCGGCATCTAATGGTGTTAATGTTGGACTTTCACCATTGTCTTCAGTGAGTTACTATTTCACTGGCAACAACTTCTCATTAGACCTCCAGGAAATACCTCTTGGAGACAGTCACTAGTAAGCATATTATGATTATAACCAGATAGGGTTTCTGTGGAGATTGTAGTAATTTAATAATATCATTAAATTTTTATTATAATTAATACACATATTTAGTTGGTTTACACTAGAATATCCACAAATTACCAGTGTATAGATTCACGAGATGGTTATACAAGGTTTACTTGAAATTATACTTCAACGTAGCAGATAAACTCCAAGTGATTTATTTCAATCACTAGAACGTACTTGTCTAAATTTGGTTTTAGTTTATTGAGATCATGAACCGATCGATGTTAGACCACCGTTGGAAACCTGGAATCACTGGATGGCCGTTTCGTCCTATTGTGGAGCTAATCCGTGTCGGGCAGAAACAGGTATCTACCTCAGTACAATGGAAGATGGTCACGCAATTTCATGGATTGGCTGATGTTAGACACTAACACCATTGAATACCGGCTCAGTGGTCCAGTAGGTTAAGCGTTCGCACGCGAGACTGAAGGCCCTGGGTTAGAATCCCGCGAGGCAGGATCGTAGATGCGCGAAACGGCCCTCCAATGCTTCGAGGTTTTTAGTTGTGGTTTAACATCAATCGGTTCATAATCTCAATCAAAAACTTAATAATCTCCACAACCCCTATACTGGTTTTATTTTAGTTCACTAATTAAGTTGCATAGAAACTATCCGTTAAGAAACATGATCATGGATATTATTTACTATTAAAGTATACAAGGGGTAAAGATGCCTATTACTTATATATCATTTTAATTTAAACTGATGACGTAACTTTATTTTGTTTCTTTTTCTTTTTCTCTTTTTAATATTAGGGTGCTAAATTTCCTATAAAATGGACTGCACCAGAAGCTGCATTAATGGGTAGATTTACAATTAAATCAGATGTATGGTCATTTGGTATTGTTATATATGAAATTATTACTTATGGACAAGTACCATTTCCATCAATGAATAATACAGAAACATTACAACAAGTAGAAAATGGTTATCGTATGCCATGTCCATTAAATTGTCCTAATTCTATATATGAAATAATGTTAAATACATGGGATGCTAAACCAGAATGTAGACCGACATTTGCTTTTTTATGTAATTATTTTGAAGATTATTTTACATCATCTGAATTATCATATCGTCCAGCTGATAATACTAATAATATTGATAATGTTGATGAAAATGCTGATGAGGATATTCGAATGTTTCATTGTAATAATATAAATGATCATGATTATCGTCAAAATAAACATCATTTAGAGAAACGTAAATTAAATCCAACTTTATTAAATCAAGATACAACTATCCTATATGATCAACGTAATAATAATAATACGAATACGAATAATAAACAAAATGAACATTCTCCATCGCATCATTTCAATGAGAATTCAATGACAACACAACAATTATCAAATTCATCACATATTTGTACAGTTCAAATGTGTTAATCATCTAATGTTTGTATATATATACCACACACACACACACACAATACAAGATTTAAAATAGTTTACAACTCATTCATTCATCCTTTCATTGTTTCATTTGAATTAGTTCCCTTCTGTTTCTCTTCTTCTTTCAATTTAAACAAATAATCATTATGTATTCAACTTTTAACTCAAATTTTCTTTTGGACATTTGAAAGTGCCTTGTATTCTTATTGACTTTTACTTACTTACTTACTTATTATTAAACAACAGTCATTCATTATCATCAAAATAAACTTGATTGTTTACTGATTTTTAATTCATTGAACTTTGATCCAGGGCCTAAACAACATTACAAAGGGAAACGCTTTCCCCCCCTCTCTCTCTCTCAATATATATATATATATATTCTTTCCTATTATGAATTTTTTTTAAAAGAAAAAGAGGAAAAAAGATCCCATCTCCCGGTGTTTGTTTATACAACTGTACAAATGAGGATAATCATACAACTATAGTAATAATAACAACAACAACAACAAACAAAACATGCTTTATACCCCTTTCATCATACATAATTCAAATTGAATTTCTTTTAAACGTTATTCACTAGATAATTTAGACATAAAAACTTTTTTAATGAATATAAAGTAAACTAATTTTTTTCTTTCTTCATTGATTCACTCCTTTTTCTTTTAATTGTAGTAGTAACTATGCAAGAAACTTTAAATGTTGGAAATCAATATTTCCTTTATATCAATATTCATTATCTTTGATTATATATATGCGCTCATTTCTTTGTTTTTTTTCTTCTTCTTCTCCACATCATGACAATTGCATTTTTTTGTTGGAAGTGTCCCTTCATCATGATACATTCGTTTCTGATTTTTCTTCATTTAAAGATTAGAAGTTCAATATTGTCTGTTAATAGGGATATGCTTTACTTGTTGCCTAATTATAGAAAATTTTCTTTTCTTTTTTTATATTTTTTTAAAAAGTGAATAAAATTAATACAATGAACAATGTTAGAAAGATTGTCTTTCTATACTTGGATGATACATTGACCGTTTCAATGAATCATTTCAACAACTTCTTTGTTCGTTTCTTTTTCTCTTTTGTTTCTGGTGGATTTTTTTTTAGTTACAGATCATAATCATTCAATTCAAATAGGTTTACTCTTCATTTCAATACCAACTTGATAATAATAATAATAATGATGATGATATCTATTTGTATAACTTAGTAGGATTTTCCATTTCATTTATGCATTACATTTAATAAACATGTTGTACTATTGATAGATTGTTTGGATCCCTTTTACTTCGTCTACTTCTTCATCTCTTACTCTCATATCTTTTGATGGTCATTTTCTTTTTTAGTGTCTTGTCTTTTTTTATTGATTTAAATTAGATAATACAAAAGAGAAGATGACAACAACCTCAGGATGAAATAATGATTGATAAGAAAAAGAAAATGTGTCATTGTCGTATATATTTGTTATTGTCTTTTCTTTTCTATCCTTAACTAAATACTTGAATAGGGGATCTTAAATAATTCATTGAAATCAGTTCAGCGTAACAACCATAAATTCACTTGATTAGGTTAGTAGTGCTTTTTAAATTTATTCAAACAATCGAACTATACAATACTTTTATGTTAAAATGCAGTTTTTCAACAGCTACAATGGTCTTTAGTGCTGTTAAAGGTATGAGGGTAGTTATCACTTCCCGGTTGCCCACATCGTAGAAGGGTTCTTCTGGAGGTACCTGAAGAAGCTGGGTTAGAGATGGTTTTAATGACCTGACAGAGCGACTGCAGTGCTCAAGGGACAACTGCTTGAGCCCGGTCACACACGACCTTTTCGTGAGTAGTTCTCGTGTTAGCTCCGTACTTGTTGAGACCTTACCGCCAGAGACGGATATCCGTGGGATAAGGTGAGACGTGTATCTTTACGGTCGACCTATCTAACCACACCCCTCCTTGTGAGACGGCAGCATCGCTGTCATGCTGGTTGTCTGAAGGAAACAGCTTACCGCCACCACACCTCTACAATCAACAGTACGACTTCGGACCCTGGGTTTGCGGTGTTTAGTCTTACCGTTCCTCAACCGGCACGTTAGAACCTTGAGGAACATATGTTCCAGGCAGTATAGCTCGATTAGTTCATCATGATAGGCAAGCCCGACCACGACGTCAAGGTAGCAAGAACGGTCGACTTTATTCAATATTATATTTTTGGTACAATATAGAATCCTCAGCACAAGGTATTTCAGTAAGTCACCTTTTCTTATTTCTTGATCGATCCTTTCCATAAATATTGGGCTGATCACCAGTTAGATGTTAGCAGTTCAGTCTTTGCTGATACATAAGCACACTGTGAGGTTTGCCCCGATATACCCATTTTATCATAGGTTTCTAATAGAACAAATGGTTTGCTATTGGCTGAGAAATTCATAAAGTGTGTTCTGTTCTACTCGGGACTTGTCAGCTAGATTTACTTCACTATTATTAATCGATCTTTCCACCTTTTGCTTTTAACGTCTGTCGTATTATCAACTAGTCTACACAGCCGTCCACTTGTAAAACAGGCATTATACTTACATGAATATTTAGGGCGAAAGGTACAGGGTACGAGTCCCAAAGTGCGAAAGTCAATACTGGGGATGTAGGTAGGTCCAGCTAGCCAGTCACAAATAAGCGGAAACATGGGTCCTGGTTTACACTGCTCACCACAATCTATCCATTCTGTTTGATTCAATGTATGCTAAGACAGTATAACAAACTCATTAAAAATAAAAGGCCTTACTAGTAAGTAAGGAGCATAATTATTGATGTTTAATAAACCTCACCCATCTTTACTGGACTGTAATACCAACATTTTAAGATAAAGCGACATCTACCATTAATAAATGAAAAAAGAACGTATGCGGACTAGTCCCTGTTGTCTGATGCTATCAAAATGATGTATGGTATGATTTAAACAACTATTATTGTACAAAGTATACAAATAATTCAGGTCTGTAAAGAAATCAAACAAATTCATATTCTTTTGCTTCGAGTACTCCTGGTTGATTTAATACTTGAATTTGACATAATTGAGTGTTTTGTTTTGCTGAGGTTCGATTTCTTTTTTTTATTTCGCTTTGGTAGTTTGGATAATACAATATCAGTTAACATTTTAAATGCCTTTTGGACTTTTTGGACATCATACTGATCCGAAAGAATCTTGGAAAGATAAGTACAATATCTTTCAACATCCATTGCTAAACCTTCTTCATAAGTCATTTGTTCATATTGCTTGGATTTGAGGAAAGGGCACTTCGGTGAATGACTTTTATGCTCTTTGTCTGGATCATCCTAAAAACAAAAAAATGAAAGCATAAGTATCGTATGCAAAAGTGGAATTCCAACAGGATATGTTCTGAGCATCAAGCCCAAAACTAATTAAAGAACTTAACTAAGGACATATTGAGATTGTATGATAGATTTGATACTTTTAATGAAAAACAACAGGCATAAAAGCATCCAAACAAGAGTAAGTGTTGGACTACATAACTGATATCTCGAGTGAATAGCCTACTTTATCTGAATATTCAGCAGAGCTTAATGGTTTAGGTGCTCGAATTTCAGCCATTATGGTCTGGATTAAGGTCCCACACTAAATACCTCGGTATTGCTAGCCCTTACGTTTAGCGTGGCTTATACCCGGAGTACCTAGTAAATGAATTAGTTTGTTTTTTTAGTTATCTGAATAATTATGAATCTATGCATTTAACTTTCTCTTATTCTCATGGGGTGATGGGATTAGATGTCATAGGAGTAAATAATTTTATATCTCATCCAACACCTTAAGCAATTCTGCAAAGCCGAGATATAGCTTCTAACCACGTAGCTACTCAATTCATGGAAATAGAAATCTGTAATTTATTAAGTTTATTAAGGCATTCAGAAAGTAGCGTCGGTAGTCGATGAATAAGGAGGAAACTTCATTGAAAAAATGACTATAACTGTGAGATGTATATTTTCACTGCATTCTATTCATTCCACTTTACTTTAAGTCTACTATATGAACCCTTTCATAAAAGATAATAATTTCTCCTATGCCAAAGCTCGTCTTTTCATTTCTGGGTAACTAAGCACTACGACTTTTGTTGGAAGGAAGCTGCCAACAAACGTAAGTGAACATCACAGAAGTGCATAACTGTTCCCATTATTATTACAAACACAAGGTACATTTATTTGCATCTCATAAAATAAATGTGAACAAGCACCTAATTCTTTAAATAGCCGCTTCTGAGTAACAAATGAACCTTAAACTAATATAAATAATAAAAATTCGGGAACCTTAGAACACATTTTATTTGAATTTGGGAAAAGCAGGCAACACGAATTCACATCGATGAAGATACTGTTAATCATAACTTTTCCAACGGTTAGCGTGACTCTTAAATTATTAAATACTGTTGAAGAATCTATCACTCTTATTTCCATCAGCTCACCACATTACATAAAATGAAACATAAAGATACAGGAGTAGTTTAAGGCTACACAATGGTACAATCTACGGTATATTTTCGTGAACGTGCAAAAATCAACTACAAAAACTAGCAACAATAAAAACACAACCACTTTGTCCGTATTAATAAGAACTTGTAAACGTCGTGAGACGTTCATAAAATTCAGAGAGAGTGAAACATTTTGAATTTCATAAATTACTTGAAACAAAGTCTTGGTAGCCCAATCCGGAAGAAATGTTAACTTACATCAGGTTCCCATCCTTCTAATTCTTTCATGCAAACAAAACATTGTGTAGTAGTTGGATTGTTTGGATTCGGTCGGTAGAACCCAGACTTGGCCATTTTCTCAGCTGTACAAAGGGAATTCCCATCATAAGGCCAGTTACTTAAAGTACTTAATCTATATGCGTAAATGGAAAGACGAAATCTGTCGATCAGAGTACTGACTGACATCTAAAAGAGCAGGCAGAAAAAATAATTAGACGAAGCCCATATGAGATTTTAATGAAGCAAACATGCAACAATAATTACCGTCTGGCTAGTATCCAAAACAGCTTAACATTGGTTATTTAAAACTATTTTCAAGAACGTTTCTTGTGCTCAAGAGGAAATAATTAGAAGAACGGGAGCCAGGTATAATGTTAATCACCGGCAAAACTTCAAAAGCCGTCAACTTATTTTAGGAATTCCATTGTAAAGGACCAGAACACGTCAGATGGAAGTCGGCGATCTTGGACTAACAAAGAATTTCACTCTAAGAGATTCTGAACTAAACGTGTTTTTCTGGAGGCTACATTTAGAAAAACTCGTGTTTGCATCAAGTGACATAATCATTTCAGCGATTCTCATTTGCAAAGTAACTGTCAAGTGTCGACTATGAACACAATGAAGCCTACATAAAAGCCCTACATAAACAAAACACCAGAACTAAAATAATTCCATGCGTTCAAGAGCATAAAGACTTAGGAGTAGTATTAAGTCATGGTTTAAAAACAACTACGCATTGCAAAGCAGCCGCTGTCAAAGGTTTTCGTGCGTTATGGTCACTTCGCCAAGCGTTCAAATCTTTTGACGAGGAAATGTTTCAAATTTTATATCCCATATATGTTAGACCACATTTAGAGTACTGTATCCAAGCAGCTAGCCCGTGTCTGGTAAAGGATACTAACTCCCTTGAACGTGTCCAGCGTGTGGGAACGAAATTAGTGAAGGGTCTTTCTAGACTCCCTTAAGATGAGCGTTTAAAACGCCTAAATCTTTTCCCTTTGTCGTATCGTAGGACACGAGGTGACCTTATACTGGCATTTCGCATCTTCAATTATGATTTGGGTGTTAATATGTCTTATCTTTTTGCTCCCTCCAGCACTAATAATCTCCGAGGTCATAGCAAGAAGGTTCATAAACCACAGTCTAATAAACTTAAAGTGTGGTCCCGTTTTTCTCATCGAGTAGTCAATCATTGGAACGCCTTACCCGAACAAGTGGTATCAGCCCCATCAGTGAATACTTTCAAGGAAAAGCTGGACGTTCACTGTAAAGCAATGTGTCAGGATTAACACAGGTTCATCAACCTACTATCCTTATTACTGAAGTTTCTATTGAAACACTAAAAAATAATTTGCAGGAACTGATGGCTAACTTCGAATGAATACATTGAAATTATCTATATTTAATGTCTTATATGGCCGCAGTAAAGCTCTTTTGAAACTATATCGTTTGTCCCAATTATGAATTAAGGGGAAACAAGTTTGATGGACTACTATGAAATATTAACAACCGTGGGACCCCATGGAATAAGAGATACAACACGAAATAACTTAAAAATTACAAACATCATGAAATACATATGAACAGTGTAAATGTCAGTCATTTCTAAGCTTGCGTCTAACCTGAAGTTGCATTGTGTGCTAAGACGGGTGTAAATTGTGTCAGGAATGGGCGAAAAAAGAAATTAGCCGACTCGTAAGGCACATATAATATCCTCACATTTTGGTAATGATTTCAATAGAAGACTACCAACAACACAAACGTTCGATCCCGACAATACATATAGCCGAAACTGTAGCGCGCTATCCAAAATTCGATTTCAGACAGCTTCCAATATCCAATATCTATGTTGCAGCTTGTATGAACCAATTGATTGCTTTGTGCTCGCTTATTGTTGTTTTGGAAAGATTCTAGATATCTGGTTGTGTTTAATGGATTGCTGTCTAGCCACTAAACTGCACTGCTTCTACTCAGCTTTTAGTTGTAGATGGATTTGTATATCTTTAATTTCGAGTGAGTGTGTCTGCCTCAGGATGGTGGGGTATTTGGATACCAGCAGATATCACAGTACCAGATGGGATCAACTCTAATGAGAAAAGTGAAAGCGAATATAGGTGTTCTTTCGCCGATGTGTAATCCTTAGGCAGTTGCCTCAAGGAGTGTGTTGATAATGTTCCGACATTATGCTCATGTTTGGGTAGCTCGTCGTACTTAATATGTTGTAATGCATTATCAGGTTATCTCTTGTTCTCTTGTAGCTCGGACGGAGTAATCCTTGGTGTTGTTGTCTGACACCCATGAGATTCATGGTTAAGCCCCGTCACCCACTAATTTGACTGTCTCACACGTTCAACCAGCATTGAACTTCTAAGGTCTGTGGCGAGCCATGGAACTGCCCTGTAAGGGTCGTATTTGGCATGCTGATGTTTAGGAATGAATTTCTAGGATTTTCAGATAATTGTATTTGGCCAAACCTTATGTGTAATATATTAATTATTGCCAGTGTTACTTAATCTTTTTTTGCATTAGAACGTGTGGAAGTTCGGTATGTTCCCTCAATCAAGAACTTCTTGTCGTTCACACTGAAGCAACACCAGGATGATTCCGTCACCTTTGTTAGCTCGGTATGTGTAGTGTTGTGGTTTTGAAGTGACTATTAATGTATATTTGCACTACACTTCGTATTTTGTGTGCCCTGTTGAATTGGAAAATTGCAAGCTCGCTTCTTTATCTGAGAAGTCGAACGATAGCCATGTTTCAATGAGGACTATGATCGTCACGTGATTTTGATTTCTTCTAGTTTGTCTCTTATTCTCCTAAAGTTGCATTCGGGACACTCGGTGGTTTGTTTCATAGTCTGATGCTTCTATACAGAGGTAACGATCATCTGGTTCGTAGGCAGATTGTTGTTTAACGTATGTTGGGCAGTTGAGTTCGAAATGATCGCTGTAGGCTTTCCTCTATGTAGCTTGTTCAATTAAAGATACCGTATTATCTGTGTTCCATACTATGTGTTGTTGGTTAGGGTCAATCGAGACCGAGGTGTGTTGACTGTGATCTTGTGTTGTTGATCTAGATCGACGTTCACAGCACTTCACGTTACTGGAGAAGTCGAGTTGAATGAAGCATGAAGAGCCTCATTTAGGTCCTCACGTATTCTGAAATTCTCAGCCACTAGACGTGGAAACCTAATGGCTGTGAGGTGTAACAGACGAAGTAGCTCTCACACCCTAATAATCGTGGTGGTTTGAATGCTTGCGATACGTAATAATCACTGCCACCTTCCCATATCGTGTTCGTGAGCACCATTCCGAAAGCTTTGTGCAAGCTCAGGCACTCTTCGTAACACCATGCTGGTTGGTTCATGGATGCTTGCTAATCTTCTAGTCGCATCTCTTACGGACCACGGTTTTTCATATCTAACTCGTATTTGGAGGACCACTTAACCTATGGTGACAGAAAAATGTCTTTATAATGTTGCCCTAAGTAAAGATGGTTTATATTCTACTATCATTCGGTCCTTATACAAGCGGCATAGTTTTACTTAAGTGATAAACTTTTTAGCATCGCACAGTATTTTCTCACTGTTCTTCATCGAAGTTTGCCCTATATTCTAACAGGCTACTCCTCAGCACTTGGACATTAGATATAGCCAAGGAGCCTTGTCCAATACTTTTGTCTTCCACTTGTTGCGATTTCGGTGCTATGCTATATCCGTTTTTCCTCCTGTTTCTCACTCACTGCTTCTCACCGTTAACAGATACTGGGATACTAGTAACAGTCGGTAAACACATCATGGTATGTGCTTGAGTTTTCACTTCCGTAGTCGCGTGTCTGTTTGAGCCAGAGTTTAACGATTTGGATATCCAGTTGGGGTTCAATAAGGTTGACACAAATCGAACCTTCTCATTTTCTTTTATCAGTTCAGTTAGTGTGCCTTTTCTGCACCGTTGATAAACGTACCAGTGTAATGAACGAACATACAAGTGGGGACAACCAAATGTATTAGAGCACAAAAATTACAGAATCTCATGATAAAATATAAGAACTACACATCGAATAATTCGATCGCAAAATTTCGTCTTTCACATCCTGTACTTCCATTTCTGCTTCCTCTTCGAGTTGATCTAAGCCTGCTGACAAGGTTTCCGGCTGATGTTATATACTACTTATACCTGTCGACATAAGTAGCACGCAGCAAGTTAGAACAGCGGACGAGTGTGATTTGTCTTCAACCTGTAGTTTTCATAGTTGCTGTTGTATCTCAGAGACAATGAATCCAGACACTACTGAAATTATATCGAAATGCTGAGCCGATGATTTCGGCAAGAAACGAGCATGAGATAGAATGATCGTTATTTTCTCCCTGTAGTCTGCATCTTGAGCTGTTTGTGACGCCCTCTGTGCTTTTATGTAACCTGTATACGACTATTACACCAGTAACATTTAGATCCACGCTACTCAAGGATATTCCATTTTAACGCAATTAACCTCGAATTTCACTCCATACAAGATTTTAAGGCTTCTATGAGCTTATATACCAAACTCCGTAAATCCGGCACTATACTTATAAGTAATCAGGTGTTTTTATTCTAGATCTTTAAATAAGCCTTTTTTAGATGGGGAAGGACTTTCTCGATTGCTGGACTGAAAGTATTCAACAGACGCCAACATTCCTGTCGTAAGTTTTCTAAGATACTTCTTGCTTAATGACAAATATTCCAACTGAAATTCGCAAGGTAGACCGGCAGATAAAGCAAAATCTGAAAACACTGATACAGATCCTTGACCAATCTAACTACGATTTATTTTACATATACTCAACATATTCCCAACAAGTAAAAACCTACCGCTCATTTAGATGGAGATATTTATTCGATGAAGTTCAGAAGTAGAAAATAGTTGACCTAGAAAGGTGTCTACAAGCAGAAAAACATCTACTTTCATCAACAGATTGCTTAAAATGGAATGACTGTTTATCTGCACTCAATTTTCCCCACTAAGTGTGGATTGAGTGACTTCTTTTTGAAGGACTTTTTATTACTACAAATGTATTTATAGTATTACCTTAAGTCTATTTATGTTTAAATGAGTTTTGACCTGGCTCCTATAAAGCTTTCTGAGTGTCTAGTAGGACGGACGATGTTTATGTTAGATTCGTAGTCAGTTGTCTTAGATTCAGTATT